GCCTGAGCTTCATTATAGCCAGGCAGATACTGGTGGGATAGACATGGGAAAATTTAGATTAGCTCAAATGGCACTCAGATGGGCCAAAGGGCCTGGAAAACTTGGAGGGCAGTTGGGCAAGTATTCGCACTCTGGCGAGTAAATCCAGCAGGAAGGCATACGTCAGGTAGACAGTCGCTTTCTGGTTCTGGGCAAGCAGTTTATGTAAGGCAATGGCCCAGCTAGTGTTTAGGGACATGAAGATCAGGATACAACCCCCACAAATGAGTAGGAGGAGAGCATGACACTGTGGCTCCATCTGCAGGGAGGAGCGGGGTTAAGAACAGGGTCCTTGCAAAATCATTTCTGAGGAAATTTTTCTCTTCTGATTCTTTTTATTGGAAGGTAAGCTCCCTGAGAGCAGACACACATACTTCTGTTGTCAGCCACTCTATCTTCAGCACCTACCACAGTGACAGTCGCATAACAGGTTCTCAAATATTTTGTAATTGGTGGTGGTTTGTTTTTACCACATCATAAATCTTTTTTTTTTTTTTTTTTCCCCCTGAGACGTTGTCTCACTCTGTCGCCACACTGGAGTGCAGTGGCACAATCTCGGCTCACTGCAACCTCCACCTCCCGGGTTCAAGCGATTCTCCTGCCTCAGCCTCCCGAGTACCTGGGACTATAGGCACGAGCTACCATGCCCAGCTAATTTTTGTATTTTTAGTAGAGATGGGGTTTCACCATGTTGGCCAGGATGGTCTCAATCTCTTGACCTTGTGATCCACCCAGCTCGGACTCCCAGAGTGCTGGCATTACAGGCGTGAGCCACTGCGCCCCTCCAGCACATCCTAAATCTACAAGCAGCAAGGCATGGTTTCAGTCTCCTCTTGCTAGTAAGAGGTGGGTGCTAATATCTTCTCCACTCAGATACAGTCGGGTAGGCAGATGCTGACAGGAGGGCCTGTTGATTGCTGTGCTGGGAGGAGAAAGGTCTTGAATGGCAGGACTATTTCTGCAAGGTTACTTCCCGCAGACTGCCTTAATCACTCCTTATTCCCTCGGCACTGCCCCCACCAGATCCCCCACATCTGCTGTCAGGTAAAGCCCCTGAAGAGAGTTCCTGAAAGGAAAATGCCTGGGGCTACCTGTTTTGACATTCAAAAAGAAGTCAGCAGACCTTAAAAAGGGCAGATTTTTCCTTCAAACACACATTAAAAGCTAACCTACTGGCTTTGTAACAGTTTGCCTCTTGCCAAACGCTTCAAGGATTGCTTTTTCAACTTGGAAGAGGATTTCCTCAACTTTAGAAAAGGTGGAATAAGCTATTGCCAAGGCAACCAGTAGAATCCATAACATTTGGCCTCCTTCACTTTAGCATGCCCAAGTCAATTGGAGGGGTCCGTGGGTGGAGGGAATGAGCCGTTCCAAGCAGCTGATCTCTGCTGCCACTTTCCCCAGCTCTTCAGGTAAATGTAGTTTATTACATCTGACAGCTGGCTCTGCAGCTGTGGTGCGGGCAAGCCATTTCGTCTTTCACCTCATGGTCTGAGGCTGCTCCCTTATTAAATACACTTACTGAGTCAGAGAAATGGAGTTTTAAAACGGTCTTTCCGGGAAGTTCAGGGAAATCAATCTTTCCCAACCCCTCTTCCTGGATAATGGCAACTGCCTATTAACTGGCCTGCCTGTTTCCATTCTCACCGTCCTACAGGCCAGGCCTTTCGCAGCTCAGCCAGAGGGATCTTCTTAAAATGACAGTCATGCCATGTCACTCCCTGACTTCGTTTCCTCTAGTATTTTTTTTCCCCCTCATCTCAATCAGGATAAACTCCAAGCTCCTTCTGAAGGAGGCTCAGGAGGTCCTGTGACCTCAGACCTACCTGGTCAGCCACAGCTCACAGAACTCATCCCTCTACTGGCCTAATTCACAGCATTCTTTTCTGTCACTTGTAGCCTTCATTGGACCATTTCATTCATTTCTTCCCAGATCCATCAATCTGAGTGTTGGTGATGCTGTCATAATGAGCGCATCATTTTCTCTAAACAGATCAACTCTTAAATGAATTCTCAGTTACTCAAACAGCCTCGTTGTCTGGGGTGATAACCGAGGTTCATTGTCTCAGGGTCATGGAGATCAAGGATGCGGACACACCAAGAGTAAGGTTAAGGGCAGAAATGTAATAGGCGAAAGAAAGAGAATAGCTCTCTGCTACAGAGAGGGGTTTTGGAAAAATGCGTTGTTGATCTGTGGTGAAATGCAGGCATTTTTATAGTTAAGCTAGTGAGGAGGTGGTATCTGATCCATATACGGCATGAAAACCAGGTCAGGACCAGGTGTGCCATCTGCATAGTGAATCTCTGGCAGCCTCCACCCCAATCTTTTATTATGCAGGTGGGTTCTCTGCCTGAGCTTCTCCATATTGCCCAGTTCTTTCTTACCATACATGTGCTAAGAAAAAAGGGAAGGTGGAGCTTCCATGGTGGACACGCCTGGCCCCAAGTAGACCCTTTCTATTGGCACCGCTGCCGGTATTCCCCTGTGCAAGCTTCCAGCTTCCTTATCTATGTTTGCAGCTTGATCTTTCAGGCTGCTCTTGGTTAGAAAAGATATGATTTCTTTGGCTGCTTTTTGTTACAAGGGAAATTCTGCTGAGGACTCTCTTGCCCCCAGCATCTGCCTAAATAATTTCTATCTTCTGTCTGTATCATTACTTTATGGGAAAATCCAACATTAACAGATATGCTGTAGTCTGTAAGATGGGGTAAAAACCTGGCCTCACGATGAGATCATTTGGCATTGAGAAAGATGAGAAAAGAAAATCAGAAGGGAAAATGGAAGGCTTGAGGGAGAGGAAACTATAGAAACTGGTGGCACAAAAGATAAAAGAGGAGTTACTGAAATAATACTGCTTTCAGATTTGTTCATTATGGTCAGGCACAGTGGCTCATGCCTGTAATCCCGGCACTTTGGGAGGCCAAGGTGGGTGGATCATGAGGTCAGGAGTTTGAGACCAGCCTGGCCAACATGGTGAAACCCCATCTCCCTAAAACTACAAAAATTAGCTGGGCGTGGTGGTGGATGCCTGTAATCCCAGCTACTTGGGAGGCTGAGGCAGGAGAATTGCTTGAACCCGGGAGGTGGAGGTTGCAGTGAGCCAAGATCTCACTACTGCACTCCAGCCTGGGCAACAGAGTGATCCATCTCAAAAAAAAAAAGAAAAGAAGACTTATTTATTATTTGTGGAGTGGTATAGTGTTAATTCTGGGTTGACTGTGATAAGTTAAAGAGCCATATTATATTATAATCTCCACAGCAACCACTTTAATATATACAACAAAGAAATATTGATGAAAAAACCAACAGAGGAAATAATTTGAAATACAAAAATATTGCTATATTAATTTAACATTTTTTTTTTTTTTTTAAAAGACAGAAAAGGAAGACAAAGAAATAACACAAGGGAAATAGGGAATCAAAAATCACCATGGTAGATGTATTAGTCAGCATTCTAATAGAATGACAGAACCAATAGAATATATAGAGACATATAAGAAGAGATGTATCATTGGAATTCATTCACACAAAAGGAGGCTGAGAAGTCTCATGATATGCCATCAGCAAGTTGGAGAACTAGGAAAGCTGATGGTGTAATTGAGGGGAGCTGATGGTGTAACTTTTACTCCAAGGCCGGAGCACTGGAAGGTGGGATGTAGGGAAGAAGGTAGGAATGCTGGTGTAAGTCCCAGAGTTCAAAGTTTTGAGAACTAGGAGCTCTGATGTCCAAGGGAAGGAGAAAATGGATGTCTAACTCAAGGAGAGAGCAAATTCTCCCTTTCTCCTCCTTTTTGTTTTATTTGGGTGGGTCCTTAATGGTTTGGGTGCTAGCTGCCCACACTGGTGAGGGAGATCTTCTTTACTTAATCTACCAACTCAAATGCTAATCTCTTCTGGAAACACCCTCACAGACACAGTAGTAACGTTTTACCAGCTATCTGGGCTCCACTGACCTAGTCAGGTTGACACATGAAATTAATCATTTCATTAGACATGAACACAATCATATCAATGATTACAATAAATATATTAGTTTCCTAGGACTGACACAAATTACCACAAACTAGGTGGCTTAAAACAACAGAATTTATTCTCTTATAGTTTAGGTGGCCAGAGTACAAAATTAAGGTGTTGGGCAGCATTAATTCCTTCTGGAGGCTCTGAGGGAGAATCTGTTTCTTATCTCTAGCTTCTGGTTATTACCAGCAATTCTTAGTACTCCTTGGCCTGTAGCTACAACACTTTAATCCTTACCTTTGGGTTCATATAGCCTTCTTACCTCTGTGTATCTTTGTGTATCCTTTCCTCTTCTTATAATTGGATTAGATTTAGGGTCTGTTCTAATCTAGGATGACCTCATCTTAACTAATATTTGCAAAAACCAATTTTCAATTAAGGTCACATTCTGAGGTTCTGGGAAAACATAAATTTTGAGGGTACATTATTCAGCCCACTATAAACATTAATGGATTAAACTTTAAGTAGGCCGGGCATGGTGGCTCAGGCCTGTAATCCCAGCATTTTGGGAGGCTGAGGTGGGTGGATCATGAGGTCAGGAGATGGAGACCATCCTGGCCGACATGGTGAAACCCTGTCTCTACTAAAAATACAAAAATTAGCTGGGCGTGGCAGCGTGTGCCTGTAGTCCCAGCTACTCAGGAGGCTGAGGCAGGGGAATCAATTGAGCCCAGGAGGTGGAGGTTGCAGTGAGCTGAGATCACGCCACTGAACTCCAGCCTTGTGACAGAGCGAGACTCTGTCTCAACAAAACAAAACAAAACAGAAACCACACTTTAATTAAAAAGGGGAGATTATAAGTCTTTTTTTTTTTTAAAGCAAGGTAACTATATGCTGCTTTTAAGACATATACTTTAAATATAAAGATACAGATAGGTTAAAAGTAAAAGAATGGTAGAAAGGTCTACTATGCAAATTAGTGTACCTATAATAATGTCAAGAATGTAGATTTCAAGATAAGGAACATGACTAGAATTAAAGAGGTACATTCCATGATAGTGAGTCAAGACACAAAAATACTAAAAGTGTATGTACCTAATAACAAAGCTCCAAAATATGTAAAATAAAAATAGATGGAGAAAACAGACAAATTCATATTTATATTTGGAGATTTCAACATCTCTCTGTTAGCAAATACTAGAAATAGACAAAAATCAGTAATGATATGGAAGATTGGAACGACAGTATCAACCAACTTGTCCTAATTATTATTTATAGGACATTATACTTAACCACTATAAAATACAAATTCTTTTCAAGTGTACCTGGGACTTTTACTAAGATAGACCTGGTCCATAACACAAGGCTCTGTTTTATAAATTTTTTTGACAACTAATAAGATTTAACAGTTTTTCTTAGTACACCTTTAACTATTCTCTGGAAAATTGTGTTTTTGTGTCCCTTTTCCAGGCACCTATTGGGTTAAAACTGAGTTAGCCATTTCACTCATCACTTAGTCTATCTGGACCCTAACTCTTCTTCCTATAGAATGTTTGATCATTCATTCGTCTGTGCACCCACCAAATATTCATTGATGTTTTATGTGTCAGGCATTGTTCTAGATGCTGGAAATATAACAGTGAGCAAAACATAAAAATCCTTGTTCTCAGGGAACTGACCTTCTGATGGAAAGAATAATACTGCCTACCTTACAAGGTGGTATAATCCATGGGGAAGAAAGCATGTTTACACGATGGAGTAAAAACATAAGTGGTTATAACTTATTATTTTACCCTTCCAACAATTGTGTGGTCAGAAGACACTAAACCATCCCCTGTACCTCCTCATAGCAACCCCCATGGCCTTGCTTTGTACCTTATATGACTGATTTCTTCAAGCTAAAGCATTTTAAGAAGACTAACACACACAATTTATTATAATTCCTGGTTTACAAATTGACCTAGTCACCTAACAGGGCCCTGAAGGAACAAGGTACTGCTCAAGTTTTGTATTTATGTCGTAAAAAGGGTCAGAAAAGGCAAGAACATGGAAATGGCCGGTGAGGACCCAGGTGAGAATGAGGCAACACCAGCGTCCTGTGCTGGGAACTGATTGGAAAGCAGAAAAGAAGACAGGCGTCTTTATCCTAAAAACCAGAAACCTCCACTGGAGTCTCCAGTCAAATTGCGAACTTGACAGAGGTGGGGAGCAAGACAGAGTCAGAAATATTGCTCCATTTCCAGCACCAACCACAGTGCCTGGCCCAGAGCAATATTTGAGGCATTATTTAATAGCCTCTACTCCAGATATTATAGTTCGGATTTAGCAGAAATCTACATGGGTTGTTTATGTGGGGGAGATCTTCATGAAGAAGGTGGGGCTGGCCTCGACTTCAAGGGTGATGGGAATTGGGAGGATGAAGCTGCCCTAGGAAGGACTGATGAAAAATCTTTGAGTAGGTATGTCAGGGAGTGGCATCAGTGGTATAGTGGAGTGTATGTGCAGTTCTTAAGTCTTGGAGACTTGGTGAGGAGTGGGGCAGGGACAGGCTGAATGTCATGAATAGCAGAAGCATCATGGGCAGAGTCTCTGAGAGCCGGTTTGGGACCCGTGGAAGCGGAGCCAATTAGGGGGAGTATTGTGACCCAAAGTTTTTATTATTATGCAATATTGCTGGACTGGGCTCCCTCTTGTCAGTCTTGGTGAAATTTCCTGAATCAGAGTGTTCTGCCTCCCACATACAGCCTGAAGTCTGCAGAGACTTCCTCATTTTGCAAAGGGATAAGAAACTCTTTATGGAGTCTGGCTTTAAACTATTAGCTTAAGCATATTTTCTTTTTTCGGTTCAATTAGCTAAATCTAGCTAGTATAAGAGCAAGAAATTGTAGTAAACTATTGTAGTAAACTCAGGATCATTCAAACAAGGGCTTGGCATGAGATTCTGGGAACTTTGCTTGCGGCAACAGGAAGAGACAGGGCTTGTATTAGGATGTGTAAGCATAGACTTGGCACGAATATCTGAATTTATAAGGGCTCCACAATTTCAACAGTGCCTCAGTTTTCCTAAGCAGATAAGATTGGGAGGGCCCAAGTGAAATTACAGATTGGAGCAGGAGCTTCAGTGGGTATTGAATCAACTCCACCTTTTACTTCCCAACAGCTGGTGTTGGGTGGGGCTAACCAGGGGTGAGCCTTGATTGACCTAAGACAATTGGTTTCATCTCCTCTTCTTTGCCACATAGATTAGCTCATGAGTGAGCAGGTGATTCAAACAAAGTAAGGCTCAGGACTTTGTCTCAGTGGCTGGGGGAGAGCGTGGGTGTGGGTATTAATCTGGACACTGCTGCAGTTATTTTACTCTAATGACAGGTGCCATCCAAAGGTGAGGCCACTGCTTGAAGAAGGCAGATTCAAAAGACTCGAGAAAAAATGGAGTCAGAGCCCGATCAAACCACAGGTAACGTCTACCCTACCTTTGCTATTTACAGTTACATGAGCCAATAATTTTTATCTATTTTTTAAACTAATTTATCTTGCTTTTTCTCTTGCTTATCTGGGAGTTTCCCTTATATTAAACAAATACTTGTAGTAGTTTAGGGAGTAAAATTCGAAGCCCCCTTTCTTCTCTGTTTTTGTTTTTTGCTTTTTTTCTGAGACAGGGTCTCACTCTGTCATCCAGGCTGGAGTGCAGTGGCTCAATCACAGCTCACTGCAGCCTCGACTTTCCCAGCTCAAACGAACTTCCCCCTCAGCCTCCCAAGTAGCTGGGACTACAGGCACACACCACCACACTGGCTAAGTATTTTTGTAGAGATGAGGATCTCACTCTGTTGTGTAGGCTGGTCTTGAACTCTGGGGCTCAGGTAATCCTCTTGCTTTGGCCTCCTAAAGTTCTAGGATTATAGGCATGAGCCCCTGCACCCAGCCTAATCCCTCTTTCAGTCTCACTTTTCAGAGTTAACCACTGCTAACTGATCCATATGTGTCCCTCGTGTCAATTTACTGTGCACTTTATTGCTCTATATTATAAATTACACCCTCATTATATTTCAGAAATTACAGCACATCCTCCTCCCTCCACACATTTATAACTAATGTAAGGGTACCCATTGCTCATAATCCCATCTTATTCTACCTCTTTCACTCCAGGATGTGTAATCTGTTAAAGGTGCATTCCTGTGTTTTTCAAAGCAGTCCCATGAAATAAAATTCTCCTAAAAGTTATCCTGCAAAAGGAATGGGACTTTTATCAGACAGGATTGAAAAAAAAAAAATCACACTAAAGAAAACTGCATATCTGGATCCAGATAATCAGTCTTTCAGGAAAAATTACAGAACCAAGCTATCTTTAAAAGTATATTCCTTTTTAGGATCAAGCATTTGATAAGAAAATAAATTCCCAAAGTCTCAGTCACACAGGAGGTAGAACTAATTAACCCTCAAGAGGCAGGAATTGAGTGTATGGAGGGATGTCAGAGGATTAGATTTTTTGAGGGGCTCAATTCAGTTGAGTTCCATTCACCATTATAAACACGTGCATCAGGGATACTCAGAGAGAACTCAAATTTTTGTTGTTTCAGTGAGAAAAATTGGTACTCAGAAGTTGCCAGCCACCTCTCTCTATTAGTAGAGATATGTCACCTTGGGAAGAACCATGAAATGCTGTGTTCCAATTACACAGTTATAAATTATATTGGGTCAAAGCAAAACTTTCTTTTTAACTTGACAAAGGCTATCCTTGAAAGAATCTAGGGAGAGGGAGAATTTACATATGGGCCAAGGAGCGCTCCCTCCCATCATACAATTCATGCTTTGAAAGGGTGAAATTTAGTGGTCTTTTGTATATTTACAGAATTGTGCAACTATCACCACTATCTAATTCTAAAATATTTTTAATACCCTGCAAATAAACTGTCCCCATTAGCAGTCACTCATTCTCCTCTCCCTAGCATCAGGCAATAACCTTTGTTTATAGACCTACCTATTCTGGACATTTCATATAAATGGAATCATACAACTTTTGTCTGCTCGCTTCTATCTCTTAGTATAGAAGTTTCATTCATGTTGTAGCATGAATCAGTACTTCATTTCTTTTTTTCATGATCATCTTTTTGCTTTTATTCATAGTTTCATTAACCAAGTATGAATCCCTGAACAAATATACTTTTCTTTTGCCTGTTTTTTAAACTGCCAGTAATATACATGTAACATAAAATTTACCTTTTACAATTTTTGAATGGACAGTTCAGTGGCATTAAGCGCATTCACATTATTCTGCAATCATCACCACTATCCATCTTCAAAACTTTTTCATCATCACATACTGAAACCCTGTACCCATTTAACAATAACGTCCCATTCACCCTCCACCCCTGCCAGCCCTTGGTAATCACTGTTCTAATTTCTGAATCAGTGTATTAAACTATTCTAGTTACTTCCTACAAATGAAATCATACAATATTTTTTGCTTTGTGTTTGGCTTATTTAGCATAATGTCTTCAAGGCTGATCCTGTTGTAGCACGTATCAGAGTTTCCCATTGTGTGTGTATATACCACATTTTGTTTATTCATCCTTTGATGAACATTTAGGTTGCTTCCACTTTTCGACTATTGTGAATAATTCTGTTCAGCTATCAATTTTCTTGACAGTATATATAGTAATGGAATTTTTGGAGCATATGGAAATTCTATGCTTAATTCTTTGAGGAATCATCAGACTGCTTTCCATAGCTGCTGTACCATTTTACATTCCTACCAAAGATGCACCAGGGATCCAGTTTCTCCACATCCTCACCAATATTTGCTATTTTCTGACTTTTTGATAGCCATCCTAATGGGTGCGAAGTAGTATTTCATTGTGGTTTTGATTTACATTTCCCTAATGATTAATGATATTAAGCATCTTTTCATGTGCTTTTTGGCCATTTGTATATCTTTTTTAGATAAATGTCTATTCAAGTCCCTTTTCCATTTTAAATAGTTTTTTTTTTGTTTTGTTTTTGAGTTGTAGGAGTTCTTTGTATATTGGATGTTAATCTCTTATTAGATGTGTAATTTGCAAACATTTTCCTCATATTCTCTGGGTTGCCTCTTTGCTCTGTGATAGTGTCCTTTGATGCACAAATGTTTTAAATTTTGATGAAGTCCAATTTGTATGTTTTTTCTTTTGTTGACTGTGTTTTTGGTGTCATATCCAAGAAATTATTGCCAAATGCAATGTCATAAAGATTTATTCTGTTTTCTTTCCAGAGTTTTACAACTTAGGTCTTACTTTTAGGTCTTTGGTTCACTTTGAGTTAATTTTTATATATGGTGTTAAGTAAGGGTCCAACTTTATCCTTTTATATAGGATACCTGGTTTTCTTTTTCTTTTCTTTTTTTTTTTGAGACAGAGTCTCGCTCTGTCGCCCAGGCTGGAGTGCAGTGGCGCAATCTCAGCTCACTGCAAGCTCCGCCTCCCGGGTTCACGCCATTCTCCTGCCTCAGCCTCCCGAGTAGCTGGGACTACAGGCGCCCGCCACCGCGCCTGGCTAATTTTTTCTATTTTTTAGTAGAGACGGGGTTTCAGCATGGTCTCAATCTCCTGACCTTGTGATCCGCCCGCCTCGGCCTCCCAAAGTGCTGGGATTACAGGCGTGAGCCACCGCGCCCGGCCGGTTTTCTTTTTCTTAGTATAATTTGTTGCAAAGGCTATCCTCTTCCCATTGAATGGTTTTGGCATTTTTCTTGTTGAAAATCACTTGACCATATATATGAAGTTTTATTTCTGGGCCCTCTGTTCAATTCCTCTGGTCTATATGTCTGTCTTTATGTCAGTGCCATGCTGTTTTGATTTTTGTAGCTTTGTAATAAATTTTGAAATCATTAAGTGAGTTATTCAATTTTGTTCTTCTTTTTCAAGGTTGTTTTGGCTATTTTGGTAACCTCAGGGTTCTATGAGGGTCCATATAAATTTTAGGATGGAGTTTTCTATTTCTGCAGAAAAGGTTGTTAGGGCCAGGTATGCTGGCTTATGCCTATAATCCCAGCACTCTGGGAGACCAAAGTGGGTGGATTGCTTGAGCCTAGGAGTTTGAGACCAGACTGGGAAACACAGCAAGACTCTGCCTTTACCAAAAAAAAGTATAAAAATTAGCTGGGCCTGGTGCCACATGGCTGTGGTTCCAGCTACTGGGGATGCTGAGGTGGCAAGATCACTTGAGTTCGGGAGGTGGAGGCTGCAGTGAGCTGAGACCATGCTGCTACACCCTAGTTTGGGGGACAGAGAGGCGCCCCATCTCAAAAAAAAAGTTGTTGGAATTGTGTGGGAATTACATTGACTTGTAGATTGCTTTGGCTAATATTATCATTTAAATAATATTAAGTCTTCCAATCCATGAACATGGAATGTCTTTCTATTTATGTCTTCTTTGATTTCTTTCGGCAGTGTTTCATAATTTTCAGTATATAAGTCTTCCATCTCCTTGGTTAATTCCTGAGTATTTATTTCTTTTTGATGTTATTATAAATGAAATTTTCTTAATTTCCTTCTCAGATTGTTCACTGCTAGTGAGATGAAATGCAACTAATTTTTATGTGTTGATTTTTTTATCCTAATACTTTGCTGAATTTGTTTATTAGTTGTGACAGCTTCCTTGAATGTGGAATTTTTAGGGTTGTCTACATACACAATCATGTCATCTGTGAACAGAGATAATTTTATTCTTTCTGACTTGGATACCTTTTATTTCTTTAGCCGAATTTCTATTTTTGCCTATCTATATTGTCTAATTGTACTGTCTAGAGATCCTAATACAATGTTGAATAGAAGTGGGGAAAACCGGCATTCCTGTCTTATTCCTGATTTGAAGAGGAAAAGTTTAGTCTTTTGCCATTGAGTGTGGTGTTAACTGTAACTTATGTTAAAGTTGAAGGAAGTTCCTTCTATTTCTAGTTTGTTGAATGTTTTTATCACAAAAAGATGTTAAATTGTGTCAGATGCTTTTGCTGCATCAATTGAGATGATCATTTGGGTTTTATCCCTTTGTTTTGTTAATGTGGTGTGCCACAGTGATTCATTTTGGTACGCTGGAATCATCTGTGCATTCTAGGAATAAATCCTTCTTGGTCATAGTGTATAATCCTTTTAATATGCAGATGAATTCAATTTCCTAGTATTTTTTTAAAGGATTTTTGCATCAATATTCATAAGGGATATTGGTTTGTACTTTTTTTTTCCTTGTAGCATCTTTGTCTGATTTTGGTATTTAGGCAACACTGGCCTCATAAGAAGAGTTAGGAAGTGTTCCTATTTTCAAATTTTTGAAAAAGTGAAAAAAGTGTTAATTTTTCTTTAAATGTGATAGAAATCACTGATGAAACCATATGCTTTGCTTTTCTGGGATATTTTTTCATTACTAATTCAATCTCTTTATTAGTTATAGATGTATTTATATTTTCAGTTTTTTCATGATTCA